TTTTTTTATATTTAGATACAGTAACTCTCTATTTTATAATAAAATGATTAAGATATCGATGTTATAAGAATCGCAAATAATAATTTTAATATTAATTATCTATAAATATAAACGCAGCATATAGACATCATTGTCTACTAGAATATGGAATTATATGAAATTATGCTAACGTAAAAACAATATTAGTTTAAATTTTGTCATTGCAAAGTGATAGTACGTATACCTAACTTAATGTCAATAAGTCTAGATCTAGAAATCAATTCGTCCCAATCCAATATGGTCACATTCATACAAATCGAACCGATCGATCTGGCGTTCCTGGTAGAATTCCATACGATGCTGAGATAACACAAATACGAAGCAGTAATTGAATTAGCGAGAGGTTAACACTGCTTTTACATAAATAATTTGAGGAATCAATTTACTGATCAGCTTTTGTTCAGATCCTACCTACCAAGTAACTAGATTGTAGTGGTTTAATTTGTAAGGGCCTTACCCTGATTGTAGTGGTTTAATTTGTTAGTACCTTCAGAATTCGAATAGTTGAATTTAATCGCGATACGCGTAAAATGTCAAGAAGTTTTTAAGGGAATTTGAACAGCGCCACAACGGACGTAACGTGAATTAAAAACCTTAAATACAAACTTCTTGACATTTGATGCGTATCGAGATCGAATTCAAATATTCGAATTCGATATTGCTAAGGGTACTTACTGGTTTGCGTCTACTGTCACTAGGATTGCCATATCTAAAACTTGACAATCAACACTGACAGGGCAACTGGTCTCTATAAACTTTGTCCAGAATGGGCTTAAACATTTTTTTTTAAGTTGATGCTGTAAGCTGCAGCCATTGGATACTTGCAGCACCATTGGTGCCACTCATGCGTTGCCGGCTCTGAAAGAAAAGGCTTGTTCGTTTTTTAAGGCTCCAAAACATAGTTATAAGGGTAAAATGCTCCGGTAAGTTCGTTCCAGATCTCACAAATACGCAACAGAAAGAAATACGCGTAACGCATGGTGCTAGAACTTCAAGCGTCCAGCAGTGCTATTCTGTAAAAATAAATTCACTTTTCATCGTGGAATCTGCGTTGTAATTTGAAATCACAATTCCAATTTCAAATACAACTCAAATGTTTTTACAGAATAGCATTGCAGATAGAGGGAATGGGCTTTCTGCGGCGTGTGGTGCGGTGTAGCAACTTGGCCGCTGGCACAAGTTTGAATAATGCTTCGGAATATTCTGCATTATATAGACGGAAGAACACGTACAAGAATATTTATTTTATTTAAATCGTCTATATCTTTGAAAATAGTATAGTATCAATGTCCGTTTTGACGTGGTTTTGATATGTAAGAATCGTCTGTTAATCATGCAACGGATTTCAATGCCCGTGATTAAGTTAAAGACCGCACCAAGGTTGGAAAAGCAGCTGTTAATATTTGGTGGAACACAAAAAAACCTCTATAGGACTATAGAGCACTTGATGAGCTGTTAGATCAGCCAATCAAGTTTGGTAAAATTTGGTCTAATGATAGATAAAAATCTCCTTATGTTCAATTCCTCGATAAGTCGAAGATTCTGTCATATAAAATTTCGAAATTCATACCTCCAATTGTAGATATTTGGTCAATATACATTTCGTCATAACGAGACACAAAGATAAATTCAAATTAACGAAACCGATAGTTACATTTCATTTTACAGAATGGATATGGTGGAGTTTTAATGGTAGGCACAGCGTACTAGAATGTACGAGTTATTAACGAGCCATCAAAGTTAAATGATATTATCAAACACTGTGTTACAAATTAATTACACCGTTTAATTTCTTGAAACTACCAAATTTCGGATTCCTTCAGAAGTTTCACGGGAATTTCTTAGGAAATTTTGTAAATAAAATTTATGCTGTATGCATGCATAACGAACTGATTTCTTGCGATTTAAATCGTATTAGTACTAGGTTTATAAAGAGAACGTACTACCTAATATCAACAAGTAATAAATAATAAACGTGGCAGGTGTTTATTTTTGGGTTTTTTGATGAGTATATGTTAATTATTTCCTTAATCCTCGTGTGTTATAAAAAATTAATTCACATTAATTCGCGTGCTTTAATTACGGTCCTCGGTAAGAAAACTAATGATGTGATGAATAATTATTAATATTATTTATAATATTGCTTTATATAATATGTTTCCGGCACTTGTGTAATTTGGCCTTTTATACAATACCTAGGCAATGTAAAGAATGCCAAGAACGTCAAGGCAATGTATGAAATATTATTCATTTTATACTTTGCCTAAGTATTTTACACAATGCTCTATGCACAGTCGGTAACGTGTATAAGAGAAGAAAGCACGTCGACTTTTCTTAGTTTTTTTATTTATTTTCTATCAGGTGGCTGGCACTTCGCCGGCCGCTGCCTCGGCACACTCGCTTTGATCGCTCGGCTCGCGTTAAGTTTAGGTCACAACACTAACTTAACCTAACCCACTGTGAGTTGGTTAAACGTTCATTGGTATGTAATACATTCTGTGAGAATTATAAAATCCGTTCGTCTTTTTATATGCAACTGAGAAGGCTAGGTTAGGTTGAGTTAGGATAAATACACGCTAAATCTGTTTGTTTTACACATTTCCGATGAGCCAGCTGGTTCTTTATACAACCCCTAGGAATTGCTTACATTACGTGGGGAAAATTTAAAATGGAAAATAATATTTATAATATTCCATACATTGCCTAGACACCTCAGGTATTCTTTACATTGCCTAGGTATTGTATAGAATACCTGCATTATAAAGATTTCCAAAGACAAGTAGTATTAATTTTTTTGAGCAATTAATTAAATGAATTCAGTATTGATATACAAACAATAATAATGAGAGTAAAATTCAAAATTAAAGCTTATTCGTCTTAAATAATATTAAGTTTCTGATTTCAATAAAAGGGGTATTTTTTTCAAAAACGACATAGAGTACAAAACGATAGTAGTGTCATCACAGACAAATTCGTATACAACTTATATAATGGATGTGGTTAATTCGTAACAAAAAGCAATTACTAGACGTGTTAAAAGGGACAATCAATCAAGACGAAGAGACATAACATCGTCATTATTACGCCTAAATGTTATTAGAAGTTATAACGCGTAAGTTTATATTAAACGAAGCTTTGTCTTGAGAGTACATATAGATACATAGAGTTATGTTTTTGTTTCAATATTGGCAGTTTCAATGAAGGACATTAAGGTTATTGTTGACAGACTTTTAATGTTGATCTATGTTTACTTTTGTGTTCCATTATATTTTTGCAGAAGCTTTTAATTTTACCGCTACATTTTTATAGCTAAAGAAAATGTTTACTAGAAAAACGGACGATGCAAGTGAAACTTATAAAATCATTAATATAAAAAATTTTCTTCCACTGAACCATCGATACTTATTCATATTATCTAGGATCTAATTTTTTAATCACAAATGTAATGCGACTTGCAATAGTTGAACGAAAGAATTTGCGGCGTTTTAATAAAAGTTTCACTTTAATAGATATGTTGTTCCTTAGTCGCCCAGTTGGCAATGGATGCTGGTTCAAATCTAGTCCTGATAGAGATGAATTTATTCTAGAAAAAAATTTTTTTCAATCTTTCTTCAGCATTTAAAATTTAAATAAATTTGAAATTATAGAATATTAAAATTATGTATGCCCATAAAACTAGTAAATATGCAAAATTCCATTCCTTTAATGTAAAAGTCAGCTTTATATAATGGCCAGCAATAATAATACGGCACGTGTCTCTCGCATACATTTTTTTCTTGTGTGTACTCATAACAGACTTTAAGCATAGATAATAGAGAAACAGGAAATTAATACTCAAAACCAGCGAAAATGCGAAAGTCTATTATCCCACCAAAAACTTTTTCATGTAAAATGTTGCCAAGCCTTAAGACTCGCAACTGTCAGCAGTTATTAGATGTCATGTAGAGCCCAAGCTTCTAACTCTACACTCCGTAGCTCGAGAAAGACACATTTTTTATAAAACCGAAATAAAATAAATCCGAATTTAAGTAAACAATTATTATGAACGAAGGCGGAATGTATGTTGCGTTCGTGAAAAAACATACAGGTGAAATTGAGAATATCCTACTTTTGGAGTTTGTAAAAAGATATGTAATTAGTACATGACTAGAAAGGACATGGTAAAATTATTTATGAGCGACTGCCGTAACAATGTACAAATATTGTACTTTGTAATATTTAATGCTGAATGTTTCTAATTTCTATGAAAAAAGGTTCAGGAACTTTTGATAAAGTCACAATATTAAAAATTATAAGAATTCCTACTAGGTCATTACCTTGCTACATTTGATAAAAGATGTTGCCAATTATTTACAGAGCCATCAAAATCGCATTTTCTCAGAATCTTTGCTCCCATTTCTCTGATTAAAGCAAAAATAAATACAAATAATTTGTTGTCATCGGCCTAACAGGAAATCTGTGGAGTTTTATTTTGATCATTTGCAGAAATCAAAGAATTAATTATCATACAGCCTTGTCTCAAACCTGATCAGAATAAATAAATATTTTATTTTAGGCCTTCAGTGATTTGTTATAATAAATATTAGGGCCTAATATGTCATGGTTTTAGGGAGCTTGTAATTAATATTGATTATTTTGACAAACTTACAAAAATATTTTTTGTGTACTTTCATTGTTCATGTATTTTTGTAAAACGTAACATTTTCCTTTTAAACAGACATGAAGTAAATTTTTATACTATTATATATTTGATTATTTCACGAAAGTTGTATGAAAATGATAAAGACGTAATAATTAATAAAAAAATATTATAATGTTACGGGCTAGTACGTAATAATTATACACGTTAAGGGCAGTTTCTTAGCCATGTCCTTTGAAAAGCACGTACAAAAAAGTTTTATGTGTGTATTTGTATGATTCTAAATTCAAAAAGTGCGTTAATAAGTTTCTTGTTGTTGCAGGTAGAATTCCACACGACAGAATCAGTCGTGACCGTCGACTGGGAAAACGGCTTCGTCGAAGCATCCGCGAAGGACAACATTAATGTCTCACAGATTTTTAAGGAGCTTCTGGTACAGGCGAAGGTAAAGTATAACCTATCGCCAGCTCTGCGGAGAAGGAGGCGGCAATCGTTACCGACAGGACCTCAGGGCCCACCTGGGTCAAGTCCGACCCCACCTGCTTCGTCGCACCAACCCCACGTCCCGTCGCCGGCCCAGTTGGCACATTTACAACAGATCAGGGAAAGGCATAACAACAAAAGAAACTCCTGTATCATCTCCTAAACTATTCTTCCAGTTGCTTGATGTGGATGAAATCTATTTGTGACATTGGCATACCGAATTATTATGATGACAAAACTTAATCAAAGCAAGAAATACTACACCTAAGTCTTTTTTTACCTTTAATCTATTTTAACATTAAGTGTTGCAATTACTAACATTTCTATTTCACAAATTGTGAACTGTCGTCTAAAAAGGTTTCATCCATATTGATAGATTATGTAGACAAGTTATTTATTAAGCTTTTTGTTCTTACAATGCAGTTTAATTTGGTCGAAATATTTTGCAGGGTTGTTCTAATTGATTTTTTGTTATTGTCATAGTTTTAAATATTCAATGCATAGCGCCGGTGATAAAATTCAAATAAGAACGTAACATTTTTCATCTCAATGAAAGACTAACAAAACAGATTTTAAAAAAATATTTAAATTGAAACGTTGATAAATCTGTGGGTTTCCCTTTAGCTGTTCACAAGACGCGTTGCGTGTAATTAAATCAAACTGTAACTCTAAAACCCTTTTCATTCCCGCCATATATTTCCATTTCAGAACTGCGATAAAATAAAAATGGTTCAATGAATACTTCCAGTTTTATTAGACAAATTGAAAATGTAGCTTTTAAAAAAATCTATTTTACACTTTACTATCTTGTTTTTTTTTTAAATGTTTTTGAAAATTTATATCGAAGCAAATTTCTTACAAATAACTAACTATAGTTGTACCTATTCTCATCTGAATTATCTTTTTTGTCAACTCTTTTTACAGCCTTTATTCTATGATAATATATTATGTATATATTTCTTAAATTCATGGCCTTTCCTGATAACGTATCCCAAATAAGAGATAGGTTACCAGAATCATCATACCTTAATAGCCAATATGTTAGTTGATTGCTGAGAAATTACCAAACTTTAATTACCCTAACTCTTACGAAGGGAAGGTTATGATATTGGGAGTGGCCATTAGACGTATTGCTAATCAATTTGAAGGGAAGGTAAAGAAATGGTGATATCGTAGTATGACGAGTATCATAGCGACTGGTTCATTACTTTAAGTACCTACCAATAAATTATTATACATGTATACTTAATGTAGAATTTCTAAAGATCCGTCATCACTCAGTGAATCATTTATGATAAAGTCATTTTTTCACTATCATTTAGATCATAATACATCGCTAACGGTTTTTGATTACAATATTTACCTATACAACCAGTGTTTAAAAATTTGAAAAAATTTCAAGAATTTTTATGGTATACAGGAGAATGTAATATTTCAGTTGTAAATATGTCAACTTATACCTAAACTTCTGAATGGCTTGTCTCAACTTCGGCTTCCATGACATTCTAACATAATTAACGTATGGTAGAAGGAAACACCAAAATGTTGTTAAGTTATAGCGTAACGGAGAACTTAGCTACTCGTCGTGTAACTTAAATTAATGAAAATCATATTAGATTTTACAACTTACTTGAATGTCTAATATTTTTAAGGTAACACCAAAAGTTACAGAGTTATATGTATCAAACTGTTTTCACAAACAGTGAGTTAATAAAGTTCTTATAAAAATTAGATCCTGTTTTCCATAATATCATTTACGTAATGAATGAATTTATTAATAATAATGTATGGTAAATATATTATATAAATTAACCTGCATCGCACAAGTAACAGTACCCTTAGCACGAACTAATATCGAATTCGATCTCGATACGCGTTAATTATCAAAAAGTTTTGTATGGAAATTTGAATAGCGCAATAACGGACATAACAAGAATTATAAAAAAAAACATACAAATCTTCGTGATATTTGACACGTATCGAGTTCGCTATTGGTTCATGCTAAGAGTACTGTTTCACAATATAAAAAAAGCTATTCTTCGGCTTATTTAAAATATCAACAGCACATCTCAGGTTACCAAAAAGTCTTGAAATTATCTCAATAAACTTTAAACTTTATATCATTAATATTGGAAAAAAATTGAGTAAAGTTATGTGCTATTTATATTAGGTCAAAATAATTTAAAGAGATATGTGTAAAGCTGTGTGCTGTTGGCTATATGACATAGGTAAGAGATTTGACAAATGTACCTAAATTAACTTTTGTAAAATAAAAGTTGAAGTGTCCACTATATAGGTTAAATATAACTTATAGATTTCTTCGTGATTGTAAAATTTGTATCGGTCGTACGTAGTAACATACAAGGTAATTTAAGGTATGAGTTACTTGGTGCGACGAGAAGTAATAATATTGCACAAAATCATGATCTCTTTTCAATTGGCAAATCATGTGCGCATATTGTCTATATATTATACCATTTAACCACAATCCTATTTTTTTAAGCATTTAACTGGTAGATATATAAATAAATCTGTTATTTGTTAAAAGCCAGAGTGTCAGATTGCCAAGTCCGTCTGCGTAGTTTAAAATCTAACATTACCCTATAATAAAATATGTGTCTCAGTCGGTATGTAGATTATTTTTGCACCTAGGTTCAAGCTTTCGTTTGTTATACCACCTAGGTTGAGAGCATTATTCAAATACTGTTTGAATCATTGTCATAAAAAGAAATAGGTTTTATTGGAGCAGTTTATTCTAGAATTTCTTACATTTGTATATTTCACCGACCAGAAATTCTTAAAGAGCCTTATATTATCAAAAATCTTATAATTGTATGCAAACCAAAATAAAACTACATAAACTCTTATTTTTTAGAATCTATTATTCACTTTTCCCCACTAAAGTTTTTACGTTTTATCAGATCATTAACGATAGGAATTATTTCGTATTCCTACCGTGTAAAGATTTCATAAAGAAATAAAAACTTGGAATAACGATATACTTACATTAACACATAGTTAAAATAAGGTTCACACAACACTACAAGAGAAAAAGTACATCGTCAACTGGTCCCAAGCCTCAGCAGCATGATATCGACGGCCTGACGGAAGACGGAAAAATTAATAATGAAAGTTAATAAAAAAGTGTTTTTAGTTTTTGTTATAAACCCGCTTAGCTAAATAAATATTAGCATGCTCCATAATGAGCCGCCATTATAAAACGCACCAAGTAACCTTTACGTAAAGATAGATGTTTTAAATGTAACCAAATGAAAATTTATTTATTTTCTTAAGACATATTTATTAAAAATTTCAAATTTATGGATGTGCCTTTTTTTAACAAAGTGTAGTCTTTTTGGTTTAAAATATTAAATGTAAGTTTGACGTTTTCATTTTGTGTCCCGTGTATCCTTTGCCACCGTGAAATAAGTTTACTGGCTGTGTGTTAGTATTATAGAGAAGGAGTAGTAGATAATTTTATGGTGATAGCTTTTTTGAAGTAGCAATTCTTTAAAATTAAGTATAGCTCTATGGAATTCCTCGATTTATATGACTATTTATACTTACAGGAGTGATGATAACTCGGAAATAAATATGGCAAAACCATTTAGGTACAATGTTTACTGAACGTTATACCTCCATGGACAAAGCTACAGCTTTTTACAACTAACCCAGACCGATTGTGATTACATTTTAAGGCATATTGTATCGCAACATTGCTGGAAACCGGTAGATATAAACTTTCCTCGAAAGTGTAAAGTTAAAACTAGCACAGATGGATTTGAGAATGTAGTATGTTTATCGATTTTTCTTTAACATATATGAATTTATTCAGATTAAGAATCATTAAAATATACGACTGTTTCTTTACTTTATATCAACTCTGGACAGTGTATTTTGAATGATTGCAGTCACGTTTGTACAAAATGTAACAACTTTATGACTTAAATAAAAATACTTCTTGACAATTTGTGTGTTTTGACGTGAACTTGACATATTAGCGACACTGACTAGAGAAAACAACCTCGATCGTAATAATAATATCCAAAAAAACCTCTATAAAAGATTCCGTGACAGTTAGATTATTTTCAACATCCAATGTCCTGATAACCATAATGTCATCCAAACTGATTATATAATGCTGTACTAAATTTAAAAATAACACTTCTTCTGTTTTTTCGATCCATGGTTTCAGAATCTTTTATAGAGGATTCTTTGTATTCTTTGTATTATCGTGGGTGTAGATAAAGTCTTTTATGTAACTGGTTATAATTAGGTATTAAATCACTTATATTATACTATTATTACCCTTAGCTTCGCCTTGTGTGATAAACACACATTTGTGTTTAAAACTCCTCAATATAAAACAGTTACATAAATAACGTTTTCATGACTTTGTTTTTGAGTAATAGTCATTGAAGTTTGTAACTAAGTTATTTCTACCAACTGTAACAGTAGGGTGGATTAACATGAGTAGATTAAATTCGGTACGAAGTTGAAATAGTTTGTAATGGAGCTTAGCTAAAATTGACCTTCTCATCCCAAGAACATGCTCCTTGGGGAAAAGGAGTGACGTCAATACAGCGCCAGGTAGCAAACCAACATAAAATACTCCTTAAACATGTGGAACAAAGTATTGAATAAATCCTACAGGAATACATGAAATCAGAACTGCGATACTTTAGATTACCCCAATGATAATTTTATTTCAATGGAAAGGTATTAATTACGTTTATGTCAATAAAAAATCTAAAAAAATAACAAATTTTAAGAGTATTAATAGGAGTTTATGTTTGCGCATAAACAGATTATCTCTGATTTCATTACATAAATATTAACCATTAGTGTGTGCCCGCGACTCAATTTATGTCCCATACGAACTTCCACTCGCCTTTTAACCACCTTAAATGATGATTTCCGGGAAAGAAACTATCCTATGTCCTTTCCCGGAACTCAAACTATATTCATACAAAATTTAATCTTAATCGGTTTAGCGGTTTAAGTGTGAAGAGGTCACTTACAGACAGCCACACTTTCGCATTTATAAGTATTACTAGCTGTACCCCGCGGTGTTATCCGCGGTTTATTAGGGATATTTTCCCGCAGTAAATCGTAGCCTATGTGTTAATCCAGGGTGTCAGATAACACCATACCAAATTTTATTAAAATCGCTCCAGCCATTTAGATATGAAGAAGTAACAAACATACACACACACTCACAAACTTTCGCCATTAATAGTATAAGTATGGGTAAAGAT